GAGTCTTGGATCTGTTAAGGTGAGTCTTGGATCTGTTGGGTCTTGGAGTTGTTTTGGTTGTTACCAACAGACTCATGTGCTTCAGAGGCAGAAGATCACATTTTTTTGGCAGCAAAGTGACTCAGCTGGGACTCACCGTGTGTTTGGATGATGTAGATGTTTCTGTCACTCTGGACAACAGCAGGGGAGGAAATCTGGAGCCTTTGCTTGCTGGTGAAAGTATCCTGATGCATCTGGATTATTCCTTGAAGATACACCCAGCAAACCCAGTCAGTACCAAAAGGCTCCTTAGAGCTAACAAGTCATCCCAGTTCCCAGGGAGCAGGACTCCCGTTGCACAGATATCTACACCAACAGATGTTCCTGATAAAGTCTTGCAGGCTGCAGCAAACATGGAGCTCTAAATGATTATGCTTCACAGTAGCAATTTGGATACTCTTCCCAATCCCTGGCATTTACTCCCAGGATCTCCTTACCATTGCGGCTGTTTCCATAGGCAAAGAGCAGGTAAAACAAGCTGCTATATCCTGAGCTCCTCTGAGTAGAGATCGGATTCCTGGAAGTGAAGGAACAGCTTAGAACCCCATTTTGACTTGAAGCTGTTACGTCCGACACGTTACCCTACGAGAGAAGAGGAAATTCTTGGTCATTTTCATTTTATATGTATAGTCACTACAGGAGAGTTTATACTTTGTATAAGAGGTTATATAGGAGGTAATGAATGCTTCCACTGGTTTATGTAGGAGCTTTTCATTGATGTTTGTACAAGGTTTTCAGTACAGTATGTGGAAGACTTTAATTTCATATGTATATGGAAGTTAATTTGTATTTATGATCCTGGTGGCACCCCATAGGCCATGCCCTTTATGTCTATAGAGAAAGACAAAATTACCAGAGGCTGAACTTGTGGAGCTGTTCGTCCTGTAGAAAAGGCACGCTGGACCCCCATCAACCCCGTCCTGTCGATGCCACAGATATAGATGTCATCATTTCCCTGAGAAAGGGAGGAGAAAGGGAGAAATTAAATTTCATGACTATTGTCCTTTATTTGACACTGATGTAACGGCAGAGCTCAGGGTAGCTTTCACTGTAAACGGTAAATATTGTTTATGACTACATGCGTGCTCGGGGTGTGGGACTGCTGGAGAGTCATCGACAAAATGCAAAACAAAATCATTGGGGCAAGCTCATTCTGGAGCAGCATGTCGTGCAAGTCAACTACTGGATGCAATAGACTGGTTTTCCTTTACAGAAACCTTTAACCAACCTGACTGTATTGTCTCTGTAAACCATCAGGAGATGACACACGTTGTGAACTGGTGCTATGTAAATAAACTGCATTGAACTGAATTAAAGGTGTTTTAACCTGTTGTAACATTTAGACATCACTCACTGTAAGGATTTTTTTTTCTTTTGCACGATGACGCTTCTTATTTGTATTCTTAAAGTATTTCAGTCTTTAAAATACCACAACATGCACATTAAGTCAGTCTGATAGTATAATTTCCAAACAAATAAATCAGCTGCTTAGTTACAGAGTGCTTGAGGCCTTCTTACCAAAACACTTTTTTTACTTTTCCATCAGTAAATGGAAAAGATGGTCACTGTTAGAAATCCAGTTCTGTGTGGGTTGTGTTTTTGTTTGTTTTCTCCCTCCACCACCAGGTGGCGCCCTGTTCTCGTTGGCCCTTCCACACACCTGCAGCTGGTTGGCTCATTATCTTAGGACTCTTAAGCTGCTGACTGCCACTACCTCGACGCCAGAGTGTTTGCCAGTTTTGGGTACTCTAGCCAAGCTGAGTTTAGCTGAGTCTAACTGAGTCTTTGTCTCTCTGAGTTCTAACCTTATTTTTTGTCTTTGCCACTCGGCAGGAAGTCATCCTGCAAACTGGATGTTTGGCCTTCTCCCCCTGGAAGGATTGTTTGAGCTTCACACTGAGCAGGGGATAAATCTTCACTCGTACCGTTCAAGTTCTCCTGGAAATCTAAGTGGCAGTCCGCTCCATTGCTCCTCAAGGAACCAACCTAACCAAAGTAAAACCTGTTCGCCCTCCAACGAGTCAACCAAGTTCTGGAATAACCCACACCGACTTGATTCTGGGAAGAACACCTTTTAGGAAACGTGAGTCCCGTTTCATTCTATGTTTTTGCAAGTCGTCGTTCAAGTTTCCCACAGAACCTGAACTTAACTCTGAACTTCCCTTTTCACTTCCAGTTCCGGTTCACCAGCTCTCTGAGTTACCCTGGATCCAACGCACCGTGTATTTTCATTAAACCTGTGAAAGTTTAACTCTGGTTGTCTGAGTGGTTTCCTGCATGTGGGTCAGATCCCTTAAAAAGAACATGACAGTTGCTCACATTAAGCCTGGTTCTGCTGGAGATTTCTTCCTGTTAAAAGGGAGTTTTTCCTCTCCACTGTCGCTACAAGTATGCTTAGTGTGAGGGAATCCTGAAGAGTCAATGAGTCGATGCAATCAACTGGTTTTCCTTAGATAAAAAACTTTGAATCAATTTGACTGGTGAACTGTAAAGTGCCTTGAGATGAAATGTGTTTTGAATTGGCGCTATTTCTATAGCACATGTGAACACGTGCACACATTGGCTGATACAAGAATTAAAGTAGGTATGGAAGAAAAAAATCCTTTTGCTGCTCATGATAAAGACTGAAAGCTTTAAGCAGAGTTGATCCTACCATCATTTGATCGTCTGAGAACCCAAAGGCCACATATCCATCAGCAGTTCCTGTCATCTCATAGCGGACAGCGGATCCCCCAGGAAGCACCTGAGCTGACATGAAGTAACACAGAGAACCGGTGGCTGGATCGCAGCCTGCAGGTCGACTGAAGCACACCTTCGAGTCACCACAGCCCGCGCTGGTGATGGTCTACACACAAACAGATGCATTCATTAACCTTTGACAGAAAGAAAGCTGAAGCCTGGTTCAGAATTTATCTCTAAAATAGGAAATAATGTGATAACTGCGGTGGTATTTGATCCAAAAGACATAGCTGTCCACAAGGGAGTACCACAGGGATCTAAAACTGGTCCACTTCTATTCCTAATTTCTATAAACGAATTGGGACAGAATGTGTCTGAGGCGAATTAGCATTTTATGCAGATGACACATTTATTTGTTATGCTGGAGCAAGGCCTACTGAGGCTACTGTTCTTGTAGAGTCAATAGTGCGTGTCCTAAAGAATGACTTAAAAAAAAAAAACTGATATGACTTTATTTATTATTAAACATTAATTCCCTCAGCAAAGTCATTGGTACTGGAGCTGGTACTTTGGAACCTCTGTTATAGACAATGAAGAAAAACCCCAGCAAACTACAGAGGAACAGAATAAAGAAATACAAGCAGTTCTAATTAACATTGTTAGTTTTAAGATTTTCTGTCCTGTTTGTTGGATAAAACTCAGATCAAATCAAATCAGTAACAACTTTTAAAGAGCTTTACCGCCTCTGGATATCATCATGTGTTATTTTGTGTGAGCTAAATCAGCTGTCTGTCCTTTGTTCCAGGTCATGCTGCCTTTGCAGGCCCTGATAGGAGAACTTTTGTTTTCCTTTTCCTAAGACTTTATTTATGGTAAATGGTAAATGTCCTGTACTTATATAGCGCCTTTATTCAAGTCAGCAGACTTTGCAATTCATTCACCCATTCACGCACACACTGATGGTGGCAAGCTACATGGTAGCCAAAGCTGCCCTGGGGCTCACTGACAGAAGCGGGGCTGGCGGCACCGGGCCCTCTGACCACCATCAGAAGACGATGCAGGTGAAGTGTCTTGTCCAAGGACACAATGACAATGAAAGTTGGAGTCGGGGCTTGAACCGTCAACCCTTCGATTTCAGGGCAAACTCCTACATCCAACGCCACTGTCGACACTGTTAATGTTTTATCATTATTTAAACATTAATTCTCTCAGCAAAGTCATTGATATTTTACACAGTGTACTTCAATACCTCTTTATATAAAAGCATAGCAATGAATACTCTTAGCATTGTAATTCATTTCTTTCTTTGATGACCCCGAACGTGTTTTTGTTTTCACATGTGCAAATGATTGGATGCTACGGATCGAAGTTCCAGGACAGATCGTGTAGTGACAGAATTACACCTCTCCCGTTCAGAGCTATATCACACAGCTTATTTATGAGGAGTCATGGCTACTAGTCCCCCATCATCAGTAGCTCAGGTTACTAGCCTCCCTGGTTGTTCATGGCGGGCTCCACTGTGGAGGAGCAGCTTATGAAAGAGGGCTGTAGCACGTCACACAGTAAGAAGGAGGGACCTGTAATGTGTGCTTGTTCAAATATGAAGGTAAGTCCAGGGTTTCCCCAAACTGGATTATGCTCAGAAATCAGGTCGTCTGCGTGTGTCAGAGTTAACGCAGATATGCCCCGCCCCTTCTGCAGAAACTCTTGTTCACCTCCCCAAAATTGTAGGTGACCGCAGAGAGGAGGCCTCTGATTGGTCGATTCTAAATCCCTTCTACACTATGCGTGTTTCCTGTTTGGAACCTTACCGGCTTGTTTTGTTTGTATGACCGCCATTTTGGAAAACGACTCTCTTCCAGCTCCAGTAGCAATTATTTCTTCTATTTTTAGATTGATTGGCTGCATCTCAGTCAAAGTGCGCGTTGGTCCAGTCGCCATTGTTGTTGAATGACCTCCATAATGGTACAGAAACGCGCCACCCACCCCTAGCTAGTTCAGGATTGTCCCTCTTGCGTTGTGGCGTGGAATAACATTGCGCAGACCACGCTTCAAATTTGGGCATAAATCAAAAATATCTGCATCATACCTGCAACAAGCTAACTGCGACACACTGCTGCAGGAGTATAACCAGCCCTTTATATGTAATGCCAAGTTAACACTGACTATGGGGAAGCTGCAATGTGGGCGCTAAAAGCAGTGTTCTATAGTAACAAAGTAAAAATACTTCACTACTGTACTTAAGTATATTTTGAAGCACTTTATACTTTACACAATATTATATATTTATACAATACAAACTTAATTGCATACTTTTACTCCAATACATTTTCAATGGTTTAGTTACTAAGTAAAATAAAAAAACGAGCGAGGGAAACGTGTTTTGACCCCGCCTACTGACTACAAAGTCGGGTCTTGCCTGGGCTCGTTCATCAACACCAGGATACGCCTTTTTCGCAAAGCCACTCTAAATGTATCCTACACTTGGTTGTTTATATTATTTTAAGTGAATTTAACCTTCGAAGTTTACCAAAATGTTAAAAAATGTAATTCAAACTGCACTACTTTTTACTTATACTTTTCACTACATTACTTGAGTACATCTATTTTTACAGTA